CAGTGAGTTTTACCGAAAACTAAATAATCTGAGCACGGCAGATTTATAAATTGAAAATAAGAAGAGATAAGCTAATGAATGGCTTTCAACACATAATTTCCATTGCAAACAAGTATACATAGGGCGCAAAGGCGGAATATCCGACATTGCAAATACAACCAGATATATAGAAAACAAGCAAAATTATAAAATATAACAAACTTTACGCCAACCGAGTCTTGATCGATGCTCAAATTTCAAAAGTCTACCAATACTCAATAGTTATAAATGTTTTGAAGTCGGCAAATCAAAATTATTACGAAATCCCGCGAATTTTAGAATGTTTACGAGACTACAGCCTATATTGACAGCGGTTAAAACCATTGTAACGCAGCAACAGCTTTATAAAAGCAATGGCGGACAACAAATATAACTCTTGGTGCGAAATTTGTGATATTTTTGTTAAAAATATGGTGCATTTTTCATCACAATTGGACAGACACCTCTCTACAAAATACATGCAATTCATCGCTTTGGGGAACATACTAGTGTATACTTTTACGCTTCATACAAGTGACAATAATAAAGAGGAATACTGTACGAAGCAATTCAGATATGCACATTTGATGATATCTGTAAAGAACGAGTTGAAATTGGACCTGCAAAATACCGAATATGTCGAAATCACATACTTTTCTATGCAAAGACTAACCAGAGATATTGATTGCTCGGGAACATACTTAGACAACTCGAGTGATACCAATTATTTTACGGATAAAAGTTGGACAGAATCGGTGAAGTTTTAGATATGCACATTTTGGATTTCTCAACCGTAAGTTATCAAAAATACAAATTTTGCATTATTCCCATTCAAATTATATAAGAAGACGCCATTTTGAATTTTTATTTCGAGTCAAAATGCGCATGCTTGGCAGCCATTTTGGACTCCATTTCTGGCCATGAATGGTAACAAACGGAACGTTGGTACCAGAAGAACAAGAATTGTCAATAATCATTAATGGGAAAGTAATAGAACCATTTCTTATTGGTGACCCAGCCTATCTCCTCTCTAAACACCTTATGAAGGACTATCCAGGTTCTAATCTATCACCTGAAAAAGAGTATTTTAACTACAGATTAAACAGGGCACGTATCCAAATTGAAAGAGCTTTCGGAAAACTAAAAGGCAGATGGAGATGCCTTTTTAAACAATTAGAGTGCACTCTAGAAAATGCTGCCCACCATGTAATTGCTTCATGCATATTACACAATATATGTGAGGAGGGAGATGCTGAATATTTGGAAGAATGGGACATTGTCACTGGTAATGAGTTAGAGGGAAATTTCCCATTCCTGAATCAAGACGAACAGACAATAGCAGGACAAGAAGCAGAGGAAACACGGCGATTACTCACTGAATATGTTTCACACAATTAGCAACTGATTTACAGAACAAACCTAACTTTGTCACCATTACTGACATGTAATCAAAAACAATACTACTACTTAATAAAAACTTTTACAATTTAAAACTGTTTTGATAACAATCAACTGTAATCATGTCCTTAAATAAAAATAACATTTCCATGGTGTACATGAAGGTAAAGAAACATTATCATAACAACAACATTGTACATATACTTGTTCATAAAATACTGTCTTTGAGATTGTATGCACTTACTTCAATCTAAACAAATTTAAGATACTATAACAAAATAGTTAATATAAAAGTTTTTTACTAGTGGGTACAGTAATTGCTAATTTAGTTGTTATTTTTTTCTGAACATGAAACTGTATCATGTGAAGCTCCAAGTGTTTCACTATGATTTATCCCAAAGAATGCAGGTGGTTGAAATGGTTGTTGTGAATGTGGGAAATACTGATGACGATTATTTTGATGCATTTGGGATATCCCAATCATGGTTTGAGATAACATACTGAACATCTGACCAAAGAATTCCCTGTCATCCTTCCTTTCTTTCTCTCTCACCTCTGGTGACACAATGCTACTTGCAATCAAATTGGTTATGTTTCCCATCTGTTCATTTGACTTTTCGATTACATCAGAAAGACGTGCTTTCTTGCTGGGAGATGCTCTTACAAGTTTTTTCTCTCGTTTTTGTGGGTTACTAGCACTGGCAGATTGCTCGTCTTCTGACATATCTAATGCTGCATCAACATCATCACACTGCTCTACTTGCTGTGTTCCACTTTCAAACAACTGTTCTTCAGGAGGATTATTCACTGGTCGAGGACCTGTTATTAATTATAAACAAAAGAACTTTTTTGGTCATTGGTGCATAAAATGCTTTGTCTGTCGGAAAGAAATTAATTTAATATTTAGTGATCATCAACAATGGAAACATTGTCAATGAATTACGACATGTGAAAACCAAGCTTTGTGCCATTTCTGAGAATTTGACTTTAAAATGTTTACTCTGAATTTGTGCTTTATTAACTACTATTAATTAAACGATCTATACAAACTGTGCCAAACTTTACACAATACATCACAAACTCTAGATTGGTTGTGAAATTTTCAAACTTTACTGAACTTTCAAATTGATTGACCCAACCTTTTCTGGGAAGAAATTATTTCGCTAACCTCAGAATGATATTTCGTCAAAAATTTTTTCTTCAAGATTGGTTTAGAAACAAACTTGGAGTAGGGTTAGGTTAAGGTTAGGTCAAGGATTTGGATTAGGGTTTATATAGGGTTAGAGTTTGTGTTTGGAATAGGGTTAGTGTTAGTAAAACCGTTGCTTTCTTACGTTTTGTCACTCTGAGGCCAGCGAAATAAGCTCTTTCCCTTTTCTGTCCTAAAGTTATCATGCAAACATGTAGAAAATGAGCAGCATTTGGCATTAAATTTATTTAAGTTTTATTTGAACAATTATTCATCAATATTTACCTAGAATCCTATCCAATTGCTCCCAAACTTTTAAAGCAGTTTTTTCTACACTTGATAGAGCACTCGAAAAGTACGGCCTCTCAGATCCAGACTGCTTCATACGATCTTTTAACTTGCTGTAACCACTTCTCAATTTCTTAATTTTCGTTTCTATTTGGGACGTTGTTCTGTCGATATTTGAGTGCTCTTTTAGTATCCTGCTAATTTCATCGTGAACAACCTTGTTAGTTGCCATTCCATCGATAGCTTCTTGAATTATTTGTTCTCCATACGCATCCAATAATGATTTTGTTTCTGCTTCTGTCCATCTGCTCCCTGAACCAGCCGCCATGTTGTTCATGTTGGGCACGGTGCCGTTGTTGGGTACTACCCCTGGAGGTAGTGCCCGTTTTCGGGCACCGTGCCCGAATTCTTTTGCGAGTGTCGCCATCACACTGGTGCTCAAACAAGTGCCGTACCCGGGCACTAGTGCCGGGCACTCAGTCTGAACGACCCCTTACTTGAGTGGGGCACAGAGGAGGTTGGACAGCCAATTAGGCGAACATCTCGACCAATCAGATTGCGCGATTTTCTTCATGCTCGCACGAAGCTTTTAGCATCGAAAATTTACATAGGGCTCATAAATATCGATTTTTTTCATATTGTTATGCAATTTTTTTGGAAAATTTCACGCGATACTACTTTTACAACAGTCAATCTACCCATTGGAACGGTATCTTAAAAGGTAAGCGTCATTTTCCAGTTTATTTTGACCTCTCACATAGGCGCTATGCCGTCGCGATGTAATTTAATGGCGTTTCTGTCAACAATCTTTGAAGACAAAAATCTCAAATCTCCATTGTTCGATTTCGCTATTTTTTTCACGATTAGTTAGATAAAAGTATAATCTTTAATTCTATCCAGCCGGCCCCCCTTGGCCTCTCAACCGTTTTCGAGATATTCGCCGTGGAATATAGCCCTTTGTGAAATATGCTGCCTTGTCACTCAGATCAATAATGAACTGCTATTACTAGCTTTTTTCTAAAGAAATTTGATATACTACAGAAGTTTCGATATATTATGGATTTATATGTATTGTTTAAAGTATGTAAGTAATTAAAGCACTTCTGTAACAATATTTTATTGCTGAAATTTATTGTTTGGCTGATGTTTTAGATTTGAGATTCGTGATTTTGGCTAGTGGATTCTATTTTTGTCAATGATTCTGTCTGCAAGAATTATTAAAGCATCATCATTAAATTCGGAGTTCTAAACTTGTTCACCTCTCTGGTAAATGTTATTGATATGATGACTTCTGGATTTTCAAAACTAACCCAGCGACAACCAGAACAACTACTCATCCACCTGTTTCAAAAATGGCTGGTAAAACTTAATCCTGGTTTGGATGCTAAATTCAAATGTCCCTCAAAATTTCCTCCCACTTGTTGCCAAGGCTATGTCTGTACTTCATGCTGGTCAAAAAGGCAATCTGATTTATATCGCTGCTCGATGCTTTGGAGAACAACGCCATGGAGATGTTAATTGGTCCTAGAATGCCATTGGATAGAATGCTCTTTATAGCAGTGAAGGCCCACTTGGCCTTTTTTAACAGTATTTTGTATAAATGCTGTTACACAACTAATTCAGATAAAGTTTGAGAAATGTTGTTCTTATGCACCTATCAATGTTAAGCTCCACAGAGGGGGGTCGGACATATGTGGGGCATTTGATTTTTTGAGCAAATTTTCAATCAAATGTCCCACTGTTGGGCAATAAATATTGGTCAAATACCCCAACATTTTTCAATAAACTGCTCAAAATACTATATTAATAAAAGTCATTTTGGGTTCAAATTGCCCTAACTCGGGCCAAAAATCCTAATCAAAATCCCTAGGGTGGGGATGCAATTAATGATTAAATACCCCACATCTGGGACTTAACATTGATAGGTGCATTATATGCAGGGTTTTTTTGTATTCTCATATAATGTACCACAAAGTATCAGCAGCATGTTATTGTGGGACCTTTGATCAATATGTATATAAATAGACATATTTTTGTTTTATTGTTGCATTAATTTTAATGAAAAATTACTCACAAAGTTGGTCAAGTGAATGTATAAACTATTTATTTATTCATTTAGTGTACAGCACATGTTACAATTATGTACTTAATTGACAGACATTGTTTTAATGACAGACATTGTTTTAATTGCACCCACTTGTGATTAAATTAACCTAGTTTTTGTTTAAAAATGCTGACAAAAAATCTAAAAAGTTAGCCAATTGAAATAACAGCATTTCTATAACTTGCTAAACCTAGTCAGTTGCTATTATATCACAAACATCTGTCAACATACACTCATGCTCTTCTTTACCACTTGAGTCTCCCACTCACCACATTATTTTAATGAAATTTTTGGATAAAATCCTATTTTAAAATTTAAGTCAACCCTATACTTGATATGCTGAACATAGACCTCTAAGATATCTCCTGCGGCAATTAGTGGGTGCAAATACTCGCATAGTTCAGAAGCAATATTAAATAACCAACATGTGTCCATCCAGTTCCATATAGTCCAGATCAATTGCACTTGGGTCCATTGGATTCAATTGCTCTGGCCATATTCTTACATTCACTGGTTTATCTTGTCCATGAAGAGCAAGTATATTGCCTGTTCCAAATGATGTTGGTAGTTTTTCTCATGAGCAGCACTGGTGCACTTGAATGGTACAGCATGGATGATTTCATTCTCGTCACTTTCATCCTCATCACTTAACTGGTCACCACTTTCTGCCGTATCACCTTCATTACCATATATCCATCCTGACCAGGTTCAGGACCAGCCAACCACTCAAGTAGATCTCTTTCTACAAAATCATAACAAGAAAATTTTTATTTTATACATACACTGTAATCTCTAAAATTAGCAATCTAATGCAAAAGTGTGTCACTATTTACAGTAATATTAGAACAACACAAATATGGCAATATTACTTACAGATGAAAATTGAAAAATATATAACTACTGTATACAACTTCGGCAAAAATTTATTAAACAATTTGTTTAACTCAAAACATGTACATAACTATCACAGTGACAGAGAACATAGACACACACACAATAGGGTCAAACTAGAGGCAATACACACAAATATTACGCTATAATTTCTGAAATTACGGTACAGTACAATACAGTACAGTACAAGAATAAAAACAACAAAGCGGAAATTTGACTATAAAATAACAAGATGACTGTAATGCATTGTAGTATACCAACCTTAAATACTGCGCTTGTTTTCACGTTGATGATACACGGAGATTTAACGCCATCCAACTTAGCAAGAAGAGCCTTGCTATTGGGATTTGGGAATATTTATATAAACACAATTCCTTCGCTCAGACGGATTATTTATGAACTAAACTGGTCTAAACTAAAATGACAGCACGTCCCATGCAATTTAAAAAAAGGTAAAGTTGGTATAGCAAAACACAAGTCATAATGAGGATCGCAACACTACAGCAATATGCTGTTCTGACACTATTGTTGTTTGAAAGCTTCCATATTTGTTTAGTCAGAGAGATGTTCACTCCTCGATAGTCAACAGTCAATGAAGCCACGCCGTGGAATTAGGCGCTCAATACCCATAATGCTTTGCGGCCTGCTGTCCAACCTCCTCTGAGTGGGGCAGTTAAACAATGGGAAATGACCAGCCTGCTTTGCGCGCAGTGTTTGCCTGCGAACGGGTCTTTTGGAACCGGAAATTGGGCTGGAGCACGCTTCACGTTCTTTTCAACTTTTGACTTTTTGACAAGCGTGTGCTAAATTAAAAGGTGAGTGTTAGTTGACTTAATTGTTATCTGTTTTTCTACTTCACCCAACAGATCTGCTGTTAACACACTGATCTCCCTTTTAGCTGAAATATTAACACTATTTTGTTCAATATATATACAAGTGTTCACATTTTCTGGTGCCTTTCGAGCGCCTCTGTCAGCTGTGTTTCAACACCGTTTCAACACTGTTTCCATAGTTTCTGTCGATTGAAAGAGTTTTTTGTTTACCAAATTTAATCATGTTATTTAAATGAAATAATTCATGTTTTAGCTGTCACGGAATACAAAGGACATATTTGTCTTAATCGAAGCAACACGACACAAAATCTTTGTATTAAAGTCACGTTGCCGACTTGCCGTAGTATATTTCACATGACTGCGCTTGCACTGTAGCCTAGTATCAGCTGGCACGGACGAGTCTCAGCAGTGTATCGATAGATCGCTTCATTTTTATCCTCTATCAGGAGAATTTCAGCTGTCCTTATGCTCTTTGATGAATGTCCCATTTATATTTAGACGCAATGAAACAACATCAAAACCACTAGTTAATCCAACGAAACTCTGTCGGATTACAGGGGATGGCAATTGTTTATTTAGAGCACTGTCATATATTTTAACCGGTAGACAAACATACCACATGATTTTAAGACAAAAAATAGTGGATCACATGAACAGCATAGAACATGTCCTTAGACCACATATGAATAGTTCAGTAGATCATTATTTAGCCACAAGCAACATGAGGAACAGTGGTGTGTGGGGGACTGATATTGAAATTTTTGCAGCCATTCCCTTTTCAATGTAGATATTTATGTTTATTCACAGTTTGGTAACAATTATAAATGGTCTAAAAAGAAAAAGAGCATTGGACACTGAGGCAGCATTACCACCTGGATTTACTTACACTGTACTGCCATTGCACAGCTACCTGTACCGTTGTATCAATAAGGGTGCTGTTTTATAGTTGTTCTGTTTAAATTTTTCTGTTAAACACTGTACACTGTACATCATACAGCTACGGTCATTGATGCAGCATGTACTGTATTGGTTACAGCTTTATACTTATAGCTATCATGTTTAAATTGTCCTGTTCAACACTCTAGATCGGACAGCTACGGTCATTTGATATATTACATTGAGTACAGCTTTATACTTATTATAGTTATCATGTTTAAATTGTCAGTCTGTTTAACACTGTACATATCGGAAAGCCACGGTCATTGGATGTACTGATACTGACTGTATTAGGTACAGCTTTATACTTATTCTGTTGAACACTATACACACCTGACAGCTACGGTTATTGTACTTTTATATAGATTTGCTTTGATAGTGTGTAGTTTTATAATAATCTATTCAGATTGTTTTTTCAAGACTGTTGATATTGGTTAGGGACCGGTCATTATTTATGGAAGGGGGGAGGGGAATTTTTTCTTTTCTAAATTTTTAAAATTGAAAGCCCCCCCTAAATGGCAGAAATTTAATGATGGCCCCCCCTGCATATTAGAATATTTTTCT